ATTGACTTTTTCTCATTCTTGTAATACGGATTCCATCCTATGCTTACGACCATTTTATAAACTTTTCCATGCAAGGATGCCCAACCATAATAAATTCCAGTACTCAGATCCTTCGGCAAAGCATCGATTACGGATTCTGGGAGATTAGCTGATTTTTTTATAAAAGAAAAAAATATGAATTTTCTTAAGATTTTAGAGAATTTAAAATTTGTTCTATATTAATGTTCTGTTCGATATTAAATTTCGATATTATTCAAATTTTAACTATATATTAAACTCAGATTTTAATTATAAATATTAAGAAAGAAATATTCCAATCAAATGTGGCATCGTAATAAATGTGAAGTAATTTTGCACTTTTGATTTTTAAAAGAAAAAGATAAAAATTATATATTATAAAATGCTTAAAATCAATCCGATCATATATCGAAATTAAATTAAAAATAATATATAAATTAAATAATATGAACTGTTGATGTAAGAGAATTTAAAGTCCCAAAAAGAGAATTTAAATTTCCAAAAAAAATATCAAACATATTTGATTTATATGAAAAAATACATTTTCTACGCATTTCGCGTTTCAAAGTTTAAGTATATAATATTACGTGCTACAATGTTTATTTTATGATAAGTGCAAACTCAGATTAACTTAGATTAATTTAACCGATCGAATTGCTTACGAAATATTCGCGTACATAAGCGCTTATCCTAATATTTCTTTTCTAATATTAAATTAATTATTGATGAGAAATTAATTATTTTACATTAAAAGATCGTTTGAATTCATCATCGATTAAATGAATCGGAGTTTCATCAAATTTGCGGTGTCCACTGGATTTTAAGATTTTTTTGGTATTTTTAAAAGTCATTCTAAAAGTCTTTTTTTTCTCAATTTCCTAATGCATAAATCTGTAGCTCGCAATTTGTTTACAATATTTTTATGATTTTAAAAAGCTTTTTAAATGTTTCCTTCTCTTTTTATAAAGGGAAATATTTCTATTTAAATAAATTCATTTTCTTACAATGCTTCGAATCTCATTTAACTCGTACCTCTTTTCAGAGAAAATGTAATAAAATTTTTATTTGTCACAATCGCATCAATCTATTATTAACTATTATTTAACATTAAGGCGTATCGCATTATTGATTATCATTTTAACTTTTTAGAGCGCGTTGTTATAAACAATATAATATCGGAACAGTTTTTCCTTATCAATATTACGTTTCATTACACATTGCAACTTGTATGAGTCTATTCTAACATAACTTCCTTTTATTCAGCAAATAACATTATCGTTATCATTTTGATAAAATAGTAATTTTATGATTTTTTAATCATAATCAAAAAATCAATAAACTTAAAAATGAGAAAACTAAATGTCATATTATATATGTATATATATATATATACATATACATACATATATATATATATATTGTGAATAAAATGATGTGCACCTTAAATATATCGTGCATGGGAATTTGATCTAGACATCTTATGTCTATTTATCGAAAGTTAATTATCTGTCTTCCTCCAAAATCAACAATACATCTCGAGCGTAACGTAAATTTTCAGTTCTCGTTTGTCGCTCGAGATAAATGGGTCTGCTGTCCAATGTAGATTCATTTTTCAATTTCGATTTAACTTATTCTTCATCTTTTTCAAAATTCAAATTTTCAAATTTTTCGAACTAGAAAAGATGAAGAGTTAATTGTGAATCGAGATTAAAATTAAACTACACTAGTAGAAATAGACAGTTAATATTATTGAAACAATTACTCGCCAAGTGTATCAATCATTTTAGCAAACCAGGATAATTTCTCTAGTTATTTTATTCCTTAAAAAATATCACGTAGCTATAACTTGGATCTCGAGGTGGGCAGAGAATAAAATGCGGGTGATGCACATTTAAAACAAATATCTATCGATTCAAAATGAAAAAAGAATCCTAACCTAAAACAAAATGTATTTGGAAATGAGCTTGTTATATATGACGTAGGTTTTTAATTTTATCCTAAACGAAAGAAGAGGAATAAATAAAACGTGCTTATGAGGATAGATTTCTATTATTTTTAAATGACTCGGAACGTTACTGTCAATATTGATATGTGACAATCGATACTCGACGTTCTGCTGTTGCATGAATCAGATCGTTGGTCGAATGACATTTATATTAAACAGGTGTTCGGAGGATGAAGTGATACCTGTCGGAATGCCGAGCGCCTTCGAACCTCTGCCGAAACCCTTGATAATGGTTCCGGACACGAAGCATGGCAAGATCTTGCTGCCCATAACAGTTGTTCATTCCAGGTCAATCTGCACTGTTCTACGCTCAATTCGTGAAAGAAAGCGGCAGATATAAACATCACGATAATAAATAATATGACGTGGCGTTTCCTCGTTGATAATTCATATCTATGTTTGTCAACATAATGAATTCAATACGTGTTCAATGACAATGTTGACACTGTCAATAAATTCCGTTTTCTCTCTCTCTCTCTCTGTCTTCAGAATAATAAATCTAGGATTTCTCTCGAGAAAAACCCTCAGCGAGACCGAGCTTTCTTCTTATAGCGATCTCGATCTCTTTTAATGTTTTAATTTTTCACATAATATTTCGTAAACACAAAATAAATATAGAAAGATTATCATAAAAATAGTAGTTCGTTCATAAACATTTAACAACTTTATATTAAGCACATGAAGACACATTATTTGTATCTTCGAAATATAGAAACATTTCAATTGTATCTTTGTGCTCTGCTCCTACACATTAATTTTGTAAATTAATAATACCTATATAATCAATTAAGGTCTGGTTTCACTAATGTAAGATTAGCTTGAATCTCGGTTTATCTTTTTTAATTCTTAGAAAAACATAAATAGTAAATTGAACCGAGACTGAAGTTAATCTTACGTGATGGAATCAGATCTGAAATATCAGGCTTCTTTTTAGCGAAACTTCTTGTATTGTTCATCTTTTCTCATTTTTTTCTTCAATATGGAGGGAAAAAGAGGAAAGTTTTTAAACCGTGCAAGAAATATAGTTGCAAAGAACAAATTTGCTAAAGTGATAAAAAATATTAGAATTTTCTTCTAACTTCCTTCTTGTTTTCTATAAATGTTAGCCATTTGAATATTGTCAAAAAATTGTCAGCCATTTATATATCGCGTCGTAGGAAATATTGTAATACGTCGTAGGAAATATTGTAATACGTTTAAGAATAAAAATTTTGTTTTTTAATAGTCTTTTGTAGCTATTCGATATCGAATGTTTCATAAATTCATACAAAGAACATTTCTTGACGGAAGAATGCTTCTGCTCTTTTCTCGTAATCCTCTTTATTTATTATAAAACTATGTTTTTAACAAATTGCAGATACGTGTATGAAATATTATCGCTCGAATTCAATATTCGATCGCTCGAACGACATCCAAATAGAATGGACATAACGAAATTGTTCATATCCACAGAGAGCAATGAATTTTCCTTCTTGTGGATTCATGATGCACTCCATATAATGTTCAGCATAAGGATCGTTTAAATTAATTTAAATTAATTTGAATATCAAATGTGTTATCTCTGTTACAACCGAGATGTCTCATAATGTCTTCAGTGAAATTATGTCTGTAAAAATTTTATCTGTTACTTTTATTTGTTATTTCTCCTCTATGTGATATATTGATTTCCCTTTACTCCATCCCTCTGAATTCAAATTGCGACATTTACAATATTGCCACTGTGTATGCCTTTACATAGAGACTTTCCCAGATAACAATGTTTAAAATCATAAGACCTTTTTAAAGCGGCTTTTAGACGATCAATATATTATTGCACAATATTTAATATTGTATAATATGTCTCTAGAAGCCACTTAAGATCTTACAAAGAAGTCTTTAAGACTTTTATGGTTCTTTTACTTATTTAGAAATTATCTATGTTCGACTATCAGATTGTTTTGAATTGTTTAAGAAGGGCATCAAAATAATTATATATTAAGATTGAACGGCTAAGGATCGTTTAAGACGATTCTCATAAAAATGTCTTTAAGACTTAAATTTTTCTTTGATTTTAAACTTTGTATTATCTGGGTTCTCTTTTAGAGTTTCATGTATATATGTATTGCGCGCATCTGCCAAAAGTGATTACATATATGTACAATTGTAAATTCGCTAGAAAAAATTAAATAAAATCTATGTATAGTTAAAAAATAAAATAATAAATTTTTCTTCTAAATTTTTGTTGATGAAATTTTGTTGATTGAAATTCGTAAACGTTACAGAAATTCCGTATATTTAGAGAAAATAAAAGAGAGATAAAATAAAAAAGAGAGAGTTAAATCTTTCTAACACGACGCTCATCAAGACGAGCGTGTCTTTGGAACTGAAAATGAAAAATGCGCGTTTAAAAATAATTGTATTATTTACACGATATATATGCAGGTACATGAAATGCAAACTGCGTACGAGGTCTCACATATAAGTGGATTTCAATCGAGGATTCTTGAATGCGCTCAATCTCGAAAATCACGAACAGAACTTTTTTTAATCCTATATTAACGTTCAGTCGAGATATTCCTGACTCCGATTTCTCTTGATTACTCCCGATTCGAATTTAAAGATTAAAATCTATATAATTTCGACGTAACATATAATATTACATAATAATATCCACTGCAAACGCGCAAGAAAAAAATAAGATCCGCGTATCTTGCTTAAAAATCTCTATCTGATCGAGATTGGTATAATTTAGTGTTTAATTGCGAATGCTTCTATAATGCTTTACGCATAATACGTATGAAAAAAACTCTCACGGTATCATGCAAGATTTAACGTCTTTATTTTTTTAAAATCCGATCCGGCAATTCTATATTCTCTTAATAACAGCGTTATTATTATTAATAATAATATTATTATTACGATTATTTTTTTCTTTCCGATCCTCTACAATTCGATTTAAGCTTTTGCAAGTGTATACATTCACATCCGCAAAGATTATCCGATTCGATGTCTTTTCGAGTTACTGCATACACGGCATATAAGAATTCTCATCCTCTCTCTCTCTCTCTCTCTCTCTCTCTCTCTCTCTCTCTCTCTCTCTCTCTCTCCTTCCCCTTCATCTTCTCCTCCACCTCTCTTTCTCTCTGACACGTGACCGTATATTTTTCTTTATTTATTATCGATCTAATTTGGGAAAAAAACGTAGATTTTCGAATAGACTAAACGAATTCAAGGCATTTTGCCACATGTACCAGCTACTACATTATTACTATTACCCTATTTTTCGTCATTATTCATTACTATATAAAAATAATACAATAACTATATATAATAATTATAATGATATTTATCACTAATTAATGCTCAATTAGCTGAAATGGCCATTCCTCTCTTTTGAATAGGAATAATTAATAAGTAAATAATTTTAGAAATCTATCTTCGTAGTTTTAATTTCTAATATTTAATATAAGTGCTTATCTTATCTATGTTCAACAAGGTATCCTCGATTATTAACGTAACAACCTGCCAGCAGCGCAAGGACTAAATTGTATTGTAACCTTCCTTCTTCGTCTCTTCTTTTATTCTTCTCTCTTCTATCTCTGGGCCGCAACAGTATAATCTTTCAATTAATCTCAAGCTCAATGAGTTAACAACACAACATGTTATGCAAGCGTTACTGAAATTCTGTAATATCGATTATATTTGGCAAAGCGACATGTAAACTCGCTGCTTAATCTTGCTGTTCATAATATATGTATAGGCCCCACATGGAGGCATATTCTTTTTTTTTCCACAGGCATCTAGGCACAACAGATATAAAAGTAGTACACTCAGAAGTATCCAGATTTTCTCGTAGCAATCTATTATTTTTAAAATAGCACTATCATATACATCCTAAGATAACGCGCGCCGGCGTGTATTTTTCTTCTTTATCTTCATTTATTTATGTTTATTTTCTTACTACAACGAGCCTGTAGTGTTAAAGCAAGTACGTATATTTATATATGTATATATCATTTGCACATAAATGGAAACGCCTCATTCGCAAGAATATTAACACAACAAGCTCGCATAGCGCAGTAATACAGGTTACAACATCGAGAGCACATACGTGTATATCTTCGATCACATTTCCGCATACATATCTCTCATCTGTGTATAAAATCTTTTGTAGAATAGAATAGAACCAAATCCATTACAACCGTATCCACAATTAAATCTCATTTACGTACATTATTCGTATATTATCTTACTGTTGAGACATAGCAGAGGGTAGCACCTCAGAATGCTTCTGATAATGGCGATTCTAATGTATTTAGAGCCTGTTTTGTTTACTACATGCGCGTCTTTTATAATGATACTATTACACATCTTCTTAATCGCAATGTTTTTTTTCCATAATGAAGAAATAAATACAACGCATTTCTATAAAAAACGAGTTTTTTCTGTAAGCTTCTATGAGTACCTATAACACTGTATCTTTGAATCGTATATATGCGCGGCGGGATAGTAGGATTCTTTTCTTTTCTATTAAAAAAAGCAAATATGATGTGATATATATTGAAATGACAATACATAACTGATTTCGTATAGTGAGACTCTCAGCCAAATTATTTGCGTTCTTATCGCCGTTTTCCTAGAGAAGAAAACTAACTTCCGATGTTGCTACAGCAAAACAGAGGATACATGGGAAGTGGTTGTGGTAGAGACTAGCAATTATTAGGATCTGGCGGTGTAACAAGGTATTCATCGGCGCGTTTGTGGTCGGATAATGCCCGCATTGTGTACGAATCCTGTGGTAAATCGCTCTTTCTTCGTAAAAGCGGTTTCACTTTGTTCACGTTTGTCATTTTCTTCGCCTATATAACAAAACGCTTATTTAAGATATATTTAAGAATATCATGCTGACAATGCTTCATATAACAAAGCATTCAAATAAAAAACAACGGATATCAATTCATACCTCATTAGCTTTAGCTTCAATTTTCTCCAAGGTAAGCGGAGTTTGATCCGTATCACCGTCTTCGTCAGGCGGTGAATTATCTATATGTTGAGGTGATATATAGGAGGTGTTATTCGTTGTGCCTTTATTTGCCACATTATAATTTGGATGCCTCATCGCGAGCGCTTCAACGCGCATCCATGCTTCATCTCGATCTTTCATGAGCTTTCGTTCTCTTTGACGTTCCTACAAAGTTTTAAAGTAAAATAAATGTGATAAATGCGTTATTAATGTTTTAATCTTTCTGCAAGATCAAATTAATATATAAAGTTATGTAAAATTTGGAAATTATGAAGTTGATTCATCAAAACATATTTAATATTTTTATTTAATGCTGAATACAGCTAATTTAATTTATACATTTATTTATACGATTTATTTATACAGCATATTTTACTGAAAGTAAGTTTGTTTCTGAGTTGTACATTTTTTGGAATTTAAAAAAGTGAAATAATTTTTTAATATTAAGCAAAAACAAGAAAATTCTAGCTTATAGAAAATCGAGTGCAGGAATAAAAACAGACCTGTAAATTGTCTATAAATATACCTGATAGTACTGTGTTGTACATTCGTCAAATACTTTTTGATTCATTTCCATGAAAAGTTTTAGGGCATTGTAAATTAAACCGTGGATTGTCTTGTTCCAATGATTGCGGGAATTCCTATAAAAAGCTGGATACATTATCGGTAAGATGACGGAATAATTGTCCGATATCAAAGACATTATGTATTCATTATTCCAATAGTAGAGAGCTCTTTCCGCCACCTGAAATAAGTGAGCGTATGTTAGATGTCGCACAAAACAAAATAGCAACATTGCATACTTGCCTGGAAATGCGGTGATGACACACATTTGGCTAATTGCCTGAACAATGGATCCATGACTTTCTGAAATTCAGCTGGCTCAATGACGTCTAAGATTTCTTCAAGCTCATTCAAGAACATAACTTCTTTAGGGGAATGTGTTTTTGGCCAGAATTTTAGCAGATTTCTAATTACGGGTTCCGTCAGCGACGGATCCTTCTCCAGAAATTGAACAACGCAATACGCTAGTTGTGGATGGTATACAGATAATGACTTAGCTTTGTGCAAAGGTAACAAGACTTTTAACAAAAACACCTTATGCTCTTCCTTTAATGGCAGAGCAAAGCCATTTATAATACTGGAAATAAAGGAAACAAACACTGATAAATATCTTATAATACATTTTTTAATGTATGCATTATATTTTTATCGAATTTATTATTACCTTCCTAAAATTTCAAGTAGTTCTGCAATACCATTATGATGTTCCGTCTCATAAATAAATCGATAGAAAACGTTATTGATCTGTTTTCTAATGTACGCCCTCAGTCCTAGGAATTTTCCGTAAATCCTATGGAGGGTAGTCTTAAGAAAATCCCTCTCTCTTGGATCCTCAGAGTCAAATAGCTCCAAAAGCTGCAGCACGAATTTTTGATCTATATAACGTCTTGCTATGGATGGCTGGAAGTCCTGTGATTCCAACAACCGCAAGAAGAATTCGTAGACAAGCTGCAAATGTGGCCAAGCCGCCTCCAATGTTGGCTCATCCTCTTCTGGATCAAACTCTGCACCATTAGGATTTGATGATGGGGGTAGCGTCCGGAATAAATTCACGGCGAACTGCAAGGATTTCCGTTGTCTGAGTAAAACCTTTCAATTTTATTCTCTCAAAGTATCATTATTTAGATTATGTTTCTACACGTATCTTATGTCCTCTTTAAAAATATAAAGGTAATGTAAATGCTAAGAATATTTCTGATATTTTTACATATACCGATTTTATTATGCTCCTTGCTAGCATTATTAATTGCTTTTTCTTTTTTTATTCTCATGCAGCTATATGTTTTATTAAGGTCTACATTTTTATATAAAACTAATTTCTTAGCATTTACATAGCTTTGTATTTCTAATCTACAAAAAGCTTCATGAAATTCAAACAGTTCATGCTCTTACACATATATGTGAAATATATGTTAGAATGCTGTTCTTACCATGTTTACCGCTTCGGGATATATCGCTTCGGTAATAACATTTTTGTTTTTGGTTACGTACTCGACCATCTCGTGGAGAGCAGTACGCTTTACCTCCTTCCATTTCAAATCCGACAACGGATCGGATTCGAAGTCGAAAAGGACGCAGCATTGCCGTAGCTTCTGTATAAAAAGTTCTTCCCGTTCGTTTACCTGTTGTGTTTCTGGAATCAGATAGCCAGTGATTAATGCCGCCGCACTCAGCAGCTTGTACCTTAAGAAGCGAGAATAATATTGCGGCTATTAATCATATTAGTTTACAAGAGAATATCGATACACTCTAATACGAAGGGATACATTCGAAAGCATTCTTCTCATACTATTTACTTCTTTTTCTCGTTTGAATTATTTTGTTACGAATAGCTTTCCCGCCTGTCTAACTGGCTTTCTTGACATAAATGAGAAATGACTCTTTAAACGAAGTTAAATCTTTGGAATAATTTATGTTTCATATATCAGCGTCAAGATATTATCGATTATAAGTTCTTATACTTATCGATTATAAATACTTATAATATATGTATAACATGATGTTTTATCCTTATTGTAAAGATATTTCACGTATATAAATATGCAGAACATTAACATTCTTTTTTGAAATAATTTTGTGATTTTCAGTAAAGAGGTCGAATTTAATAAAGGGTCAATTTAATAAAGGGCGTCTAATAAGAAGAACAAATATCCAGAATATAATTTGCTGCTGATAAAAATGCAGCACGCTATCAAAATCTATATTCTATTCGTTTCTTTGAATAATTTGATTTGCATAGACAGTTATTTCAGATGTTAATCAATGTTCTATTCTTAAACTCAGAACAAAAAGCGTACTGTCGCATAGAATTGTCTTTAGTTAGTATTTATACAAATTATATATATAAATTATA